TTCATAAACCTTTCCTGTGGTCACGTGATGTCCCACAAAAAATTTGGGCCCGATCGGTTCAGCCGTTTTGACGTTTATTGGATACAAACAGACAAGCAAAGAATATGTATATAGTTTTTGTTTAATTTTAACTATTCGAGCTAGATTCAATTTAGATAGTAATCTATTAATAGTTGAGTGCATTGTTCCTAATAAACAGGAACTGTATTTAGAAGAAATAAGCCAATGGTTCTGATATTTCCTCTTGTATAAGTAGCCTTTCTGTAAACCATATTACCATAGTTCAATTTTACTAAAGTTCTCCTGAAGTTAGAACCTTATCATTGAATAAATTTAAATTTTCTTTAAACTTTTTCTTTAAAATAGGCAGAATTCTCAAATTGAAATGTGGCTTGGCCTATTTGAGGAAAATGGCCTGAATTTTAAATTTTCTGCTATATCTCTTTCCCTCAGATAAAAGCATTCATGAAAAGTAATACAATATTATATTTGCTCTGTTTTTCAAAGGGTTTTCCTAGAGTTTTCAATTTTCATAATAACTCTGAGCCACTATTCCTATATTCTAATTTTTTTATTTATGAAAAGCAATATCTTAATTCATCCTTTCATAGCTATAATTGATCAAATTGAAGAAAGTTAGGTTGGTAGAGCAACTATTTTATTTAGTTATTGATGGAAATATCTTCATTTTTCAATTCAAAAATTGACAGCTATCAGAAGGTGATATGCATTTGCAGATCCCTTGAATTTATGTCTACACTCCCTTGCAAGAATGTAGGCAATATAAGCATAGAGAATAAAATATATAGAGAGGAATTTACTAGAAAAAAGTGTAAAACGGCCATTTTGTTGTACTGTTTCCATACTGCAGATGTACTTCACATTTTTGTGCTATATAACCTTTTGGGCCCTGGAACATCATTTTATACAAAAATTTTCTTGAAAATTATTTGAAAGCCAATATTTTAGAAATATTCAAGATATCAACATATGGTTCAACTTTTTTTCCACTAAAATTGAGGATGGAGATAAACTTAATATTTTAAATTCATTTTACAAATTTTCAAATGGGAAAATTATTTTGGAATCAGAATCTTCAATTCAAAAATTTTCTTTAACTAAATGTTTTGAAAATAAAATCTAAAATTAATATTAAAAAAAA